AGCGACTGAGCGACATGTTAATAATAATACAAGATAATAATAATAATATTCTAAGATAATAATTAATAAATAATAAAATAATAAACTAATAATTAATTCATTCTATAACAATAGGAACTACTAAACTATTACAATTTTTTTCGTATATTTACAAAACATTAAAATTATTATATTTATTTTTTTCGATTTATAATTTATATTTTTGCTTTTTTTCGATGTTTTGTTTTATGTAATATCTTATTGATTTATGCAAATTTATGCAAATTTATGCAAATTTACGCATGTTTTTGTATGTTTTTGATTTTTGTTATTCGTAAATATTCATAATTTTACGCATGTATTCACTAGTTTTCAACTATTTGCATTTTGCTACATTTAAATTTACTAAGTCGTAAATGTTCGTAATTATTACTCCTACGTAATACTCCGAAATTCTATAGTGTAAACTTTCGTAATTATTACCCCTACGTAATACTCCGAACTAATTGTAAGTTTTTTATAAGTTTACGCTCACATAAAAACTTACGAAGTTTTACGTATATTTTTTTTTGCTGATGAAGTATACAGCCTTGGCAGGGCTTATAAGTGATAGAAGAAAGAGAGTAACAAGTTGAAAAAGAAAAATTAATATCATATTGCTAGTGAGTAATAGAAATTAAGTTGGATTGACTAAAGACTTTGTGAACTTGACTAATAATAATATCATTATTATGGCAGGCAAGCACCTAGGGCTTGTAAGATTTGTTAATTAAATTAGTTTTATAAGCAAATAAGTTAAGTCTAAAAGGTTAAAAAAAAAGAATAATAGTATAAAAGAAAGAATGTGACAAGATAATATTTTTTAGATAAAGAAAAGATAAAGATAATAATAGTAAAGATAAAATAGATAAAAGTAATAAAAATAGAATAAAAATACTTGGTGACAAGAATAGCTATAATTCCTAAATAGAAGACCAACAAAAAAACTAGCTTGAAGGTTAATTAAACAGTAAAATAGAAGAAATAAACAATCAAGTTATAGTAAATAATAATACAAAAAATATTTAAGATATGCAAAGTTATATAAACAATAAAAAAAATAATAATAATAAACAATAATTAAATATTGTTTGTATAAAAAGTATAACAATGTAGAGTTGTTGCACTTCCAAGTTTGTTGGCTATAAATATTAAGTTCAAATCCTACTAGCGATGTTTCAAATAATTTACTTGCATCACAGTAATAGTTTATTCTAAATTGGGCTGAGTTTTATATCTGTAAACTAGGACATAACAATGCCCCAAGTTGGCACTGGGAGATGTAAAAGCATTTGTATCATTGTACAGAGAAATGCAAACTGGTATAAATAGTGCAAATCTATAATAAGCCTTCTAGAATCAATGTACTGTATATTAAAGACCTACACATAGTAGTCTAAGAGAACTAAAACTGGCTTGGCAAGTCCTGATTCAGATTAATTTAACCAAGTGCTATTTGATACCATAAAACAGATCTAACTGGACCCCAAAAATTGGAGAAGTTGTGCGACAAAGATTTTCTGGGCAAAAGAGATTTACCAACCAGGCTGCCAGGTTAACCAGAGAAAAAAGTTACATGTTATGAAATTGTAGATCAAGGATTGAAAAACCTTCAAACTTAAACTTGGAAAACTCAGACTGATTTTTCTGGGCTATCTGAATTGAAAGTACAACAATACCAAAAGGAGTAAGGTGTAGAAAGTGATAAAATATTGTACAAGGATTTGTTAACTTTAAAAGAGTAGAAGTAGGTAATGGTAGAGTTTCAATAGTTAGCTCTGACCCCAAGTGTATAGATTAAACTATAGTGTAAGTTACTAAAGTACATATGAATATATTGTAAAAATATACTACTCTGGCAGGTTTATCTTGAAAATAAATAAGAACAAATAGTCCCATTTTAAGTCTAGTTATTAATTTAGTAGTGTTGCATAGATCCATATACTTGGTACATATAGTGAGATTACACCTGGGTTATGAGTTCCACTTTGTGGAAATAAAATTATGATCAGAGATAGATACTCTACATAGTGAGTACAAGTATGGCAAATAGTGTAAAACTCTTAATATAGCACTACCACTTTGGGTAGACTACTTAAGTTAAATACCAAAAGTGCATATGTGGTTATATATATCTTGTTGTAACCAAAATAATACTTATGATAATAAATCACTATTGAAAATGAAATCAACTTAATATTGAAAAAATATATATAATTTTGTTTTATAAACTCTTTCTGGTTTATACCTGAAAATCAAAATTTTGAGTAAACAAAACTAGTGTTCAAAGATAAGCCGGCTTATCACGGCTTGCTGCAGCTTAATGCGGCTTATCACGTGATAAAATCGAAGTTATCACCAAGCCATGTGATATCTTCGAATTTATCACGTGATATTTTCGCGATTATCACATGGCTTGGTGATAACTTCGAATTTATTACGTGATAAGCTGCATTAAGCCGTAGCAAGCCGTGATAAGCCGGCTTGTCTTTGAACACTAAACAAAACATAATCAAACTAACAAAGCTTGGTATTTTGATAAATAAATATTCTATTGGGTCTTCCGGGACAAAGAACAAACTAATACTACAACCTTTGAACAAAATTAAACGCATAAGAGACTGTGTATTTTTCACTTCTTAGACCTTTGAGCCTTTTCTCACCGTTAATGATCACTCTACTTTAACTATGAATACAAACACTTCAACTTCTAACCAGTCCTCTTACTCTTTTAATCAAGTACTTAACAACCCCCCTCTCGCAAAAAGAAGCAGACAAAATAACCCCAACAGTATAGTTATTCAAATAGACTACTCTTTGACTAGTTCTACTCTAAAATTTTGAAAGACAGTTTTCTGAAAAAAATATAATATCAACAAAGTTAGCCAGCATTAGTTATAATGCTGGCCAATTTAGTCAGTATTATGTTCTTTCGGAAAAATGGCTTTCAGGATTTCAGGGTAGAACCCCTTAACTACTTCTACTCCAACCATTCTTACAACACAATCACAACAAAGTAGGCAAAACACCATACCTCCAGAAAACAACAAACTGATAGGGACCCTGTGCCTGTCCCAGTTAGTGTGAGAAAAACTACAAAATTTCCCACACTGATCATCACAACAAACACCACTTTCAATTTGGTACAACAATTTACCTCAGCAGTCAACCTACAACCATCTAATCTTTCGGGGCTCTCCAAACCCAAGAACATATTTACAACTAAGCCCAACCTATTAACAGCTAACAACCTAGCCTTTTTACCTAACTCTACTGCCAACTCTTATCAAGATCTACCTATGGACACTCACTCGAATGCTATAATTAAATCCTTACCAAAAAAATCTTATACTACTGCACTTACAGATAACCAAAAAGTTAAACCTAAATATAAATATTCGGGCCATCAAGACTTTCAATAGTACACCTCAGTTTTTAAAGATCTTGCAATACAACATACTGATGAATTTGACAAACTTAAATAGCACAATGACTATATTATCTCTGTATTTGAAGATATCACTAAACTTGAAGAATTTTTTGTTTACAAAATAACTTCTATTCCTACCTTCTACAATCTATCTTCCACAATTAATGAAAGATTCGTCCATTTAGATACCACCTTTTTTAAATCCTTTACCCGCAATACTTCCACCCAACCACAACACCAGAAGGAATTCGAAACTCTTTTACAAATTGCGACTAAAAGATACAAACATTGCCATAATGCTCGTTATATTAACAAAATCAACCAGGACCAACTTTTCCAAAGACTTAAGCCAAAACTCACACTCAACTTCTTATGTAACTTGGACTTCATGTTGAAAAGTCCTCATGATATTACAAGATATATTACCTACCTGTTAAATTTCGCAAAAATCACCATACCCTTCGACTTCGAAAAAATTAGAGCTACTTTAACCTCCACTTACACCTTCTTTTTAAAACCCTTACTCTCTTCTCCATGTGGTATTACTAATAATTTTCTTCAGATTTTTCTATTCAAACTACTTATTACAGACCATAGTAATACTAAAGCAGTTGTTCTTGCACTGTGGAAAATATATACATTTGAAAAACTGCATGATAGCTATTTCAAAACCCAATTACTACCCCTTCCTGACCACCCCTCTGAACTCAACCCCAAAATATATGATTTATTCCCTATTACTAACCATCAAAGCTTGCATACTTAGCCTTCTACTGTCAAAAATTAACCAAATACTATATCATGGGCAAAAAAATTTCACCACCCTATTTCAACCTACCACTACAAAAACCCTGTTTATCTAGTATACTACAAAATTTAAACTTAGCTACTTGACATTTATTCCCATATAATTCCAAAGACTCCACTGAATTCTACTATTTTGTTGAAGTTCTTCGTCAACACTATAGTTTTAAACATGTCCTCTCTGACTTTTTTGTGCAGAAACAGCCTCTTTCTCAGAATCCAACACACGTAGCTATTCCAAAAAAATACTCCTTCTCTATTAATGACCCAATACTAGCAAAAGAGTTTCTAGCAGCTATATAAAACAAATACCATTTTACACTACCTTTTCCCAAGCAATACATGACAGTCAATTCTACAAACAAACCAGAACTACCTTTGACCGCTAATGAGATAAAGCTAGTCAATATTACCACACCTATTACAAGCCCCAGAGTCTTAGTTAAAACTGCACACCTTCTAAGAGAACACTACTACTTTAGACAAATCCCAGCTGACTGGATTAGTATCTCACAAAAAGCCTTAATCGAAACAAACCATCCCTCCTACTATCCACACTTGATGAAATCAAAGCTATAATTAATTATATATCTATACTTGAACCAATTATCCTACCAGCTACTTCTCAACAGCAAGTCAAAACTGCTATTGCATTTTTACATACTCACTTTACCTTCAGAGAGGTTCACTTCCACATTATCAATATCCCTGAACTCCCTGTATCTAAATGGAAACTTTTTAACAATTATGTTCCTGATAAGTGAATTCACTAACATATATGATTAACTATCAGAAACTAACAACTTACCTTCTAACTATACACCCTCTTTGACATCCCATACTAACTATCGCAACCCCACCTCTTCTATTAAATGAACTTTCAACATCCTTAACCACAATGTCCAAGAGATCAACCAGTCATTTAAACTACAACTACTACTAAAGTACTGTGATTCGAACAAAATAGATATAGCCTTTCTAACAGAAACAAAACTAGCTGCATCTACTAACTCTATAGCACTTACTAACCTGCTTTACAAGATTTATACATCAAACTGTGATCAAACTAATGCAAACATTTGTAAATCATGCAAAGGAGTTACAATAGCTCTAAAACTATCAATTCAACTACACATCCATAAAATCAGCACTATACCTAGTATCACCCTTCTTATTGATCTATACTTCTCTGCAAACAACAAGATGCACCTTATAGCAACCTATCTACTATCATCTACAACACCATTACTGCACACCACCCAACAACAAATTATCTTCTGGGTTAACGATAGTCACTCTTAAAACATGAACCTTGTAATCGCCAGTGACTTTAACTATAATATCAACTGCCCCAACTATTACAGACAATGCTCCTTACTTTAACATCTTTTATTTATCAGCTTTATAAGCCTATTACAACTATACCACATTACTAAACCTACCTGGAACCGGAACCAGTTGTTAAGCCAAATAGATGATATATGGGTTTTTCCTGAAATTGCACTTTTATTCACTATGCCTCTTATCCTTGATCTTACTAATATTACTGATAGCAATCACCAAATACTTACCACTTCACAACATACATACTCTATAGTCAAACAACTTTGGCTCAAAAAATAGTACCAGAAAATTCACAACTATGATCATATAAATTCTAAACTCTGAGAGGATTTCACTGGATTTATCTCAATCCACATTTCAGCCTTCACTTACCATTACCAGCAAATTACCAACACACATCAACTAAACAAAACCTTTAACAATCTTAACAATATTATTAAACAAGCAGCTGACAAATTTATTTCATATACTTACACTAGTTCCCACATCTTCTACACTTACTCCTTCAAAGCTAGCTCCTTATATCGAGCATTAAAACACATTAACCATATCTTTAATATAATTAATCATCTCACCCCATTTCATATCCAACATATCACCACTTCTGTTAATAGCATTTTCGACAAAATCAATGCACTTACTCAAGCTACCAATTAACAACTTTAACTTAATGACTTGGAGTATAGCTCTTATACCCATACAAAAACATATCTCAAACAGCTCCATTTAACTTTATACACTGTAAAAAATATTGAGAACAATATCTAAAAAAGGGAAAAAATCTAATATTTTATGAACAAACACTACACCAACTCTTAAAGCAACACAACCAAAATAATTGATAGTATCTTACACCGGCATCAATCCCCTATCACCTTTTACAACATCACAACATCAACTACAATAATTACCAACCCCCAGAAAATTAAACAAGAAACATTACAGCACTTTCGTCGCTGGACTTAACTCAATTAATTTGACTTCAACTTGTAGATAGAATGAGAACAGTACTATAAAACACTACCTCAAGTTACTCCTAATATATACACACCACTGTTAAAACCAATTGAAGCAGACAAAGTTTAGGCAATAATATCCACAGCACCCAATAACAAAGCAACCAGCCCCTTATTAATCTCAAATGAAATGCTCAAGAAACTCTCTCACATAGCAATACTTGCATTAGCTAAGATCTTCAATGCTTGTATCAACCTACAAACAACCCCCTCATTATGGTATAAAGGCCTAGTTTGGCTCATACCAAAGAAAGAATACCAACCAGAGAACCTCTTCAAAACTTGCCCTATAATACTTATTGAGCATATCTGCAAAATTTTCACCAAAATTCTTATTACTCGCATCAATTCTATTCTTATATGCAATTATCTGCTTGATCCTGCAAATAACGTAGCACTCCTACTTACCTCCACACTACAACTGATTCAATATATCACTCATTTATATAAAGATGCACATATAAACAAGAAAGAACTTTGGATACTATTGCAAGATATGTCCAAAGCCTATGATATCGTGTATATACCACTCTTAGGCAAAGCCCTTGGCATGCCATCACAAATTACAAATCTTATAGTTCATATTTTCTCTACAAGACAAAACCAAGTCATTACTTCTATTGGTAAAACACCATCTTACAAAGTCAAAAATGGCATTAAACAATTTCTCCAATACTTTGACGCATATATTATGATCCTATTAGCTATATCTCCAAATCTACCCTAGACTACACCACCTCTACTATTGTAACAAACTCCACCCAGACCTGTACGACTACTACAAACATAATCGCTTATATGGATGACACTATATGGATTTCCTTAAACCGAACATCACTTCAACAAATACTTAGTATCAAATGGTTAAAATAACTGTAAACCCTAGCAAATCCACCCTTTTTCATAACAACACTACAGACACCTCTCCTATTATCTTCCAAAACCAACCTATTCACAACTTACCACCAAAACAAACCTTCAGATTTCTCGGCACTTTCATTAACTATGCTATTAATAACCAATACTTGGTTCGAACAATCAAAAAACAATTCTGTACAGAACTGATTAAACTTAATTATGCAAAAATCACTGAAAAACAAGCCATCTACATCATCAATACAGTTCTGCTTTCCAGATTACATTACCACCTTACTAACACCTACTTGAATCCCTCTAGCTATCAATGCCTTATAAAACAATATACTACTACTGTCAAACACAAAGCATCTATCTCTAGATACACTTCTAATCTACTCTTATTCCACCTTCACACTTACACACTAATAAATGCCCACCAACTACAACAAGCACACCACGCATTGATTCTTGAAAACATGCTGAATTCTTCAATTACTCCTCTATCATTCTTTATCCATTTACAACAACTACAAAACAATGCCACTTCTAATAAATCCATTCTAACCAACCAAACCAATTCACCTTTAAAGAATTCAAAACTTTCACCACACAACTCATTCTCAATATGCACCGACTCAACATCCAATTCACCCAGCCATCCAACTCTAACCCATCCCCTCTCAATATACCTGGCACACCCATCAATTCTATTCTACACAACATCAAACACAACACTCATATTAAACACCAGCTTAATAGGCACAATATAATAGCAATCGAACAATTTACAAACTATAACAATACTGCAATGCTTGACTGGAAAAGCTTTTACTATAATATCCTAAAGATACCACACAGCCGTATTCCAAAATGGTTCAATACAATTAAAAATACTATCAGTGAAATAGAATTCCCTACCTTCAACCTGATATATCCAAACTCCTTCACATGGACCCCAGCAAATATCTCATCATGCTGGATCATAACTTCTGATTGTACTTTTGGCAGAATAATCTTCTCCAAGGACAACCTCTTTAAGACACAACATTGAAACTTAGACCAAACAACTAATAGTTTAATTCATTGTAACCGATATGCCTGTCACGACTATACTACAAAGAATATTCAGTGTTCATTCTGGACTCCAAAAAATACTACTTACCAAATCCAAGTATCTTCAAAACACATCTGGCATGGCAACCTAGCCAACCTCAGCATCTTACCCCTACTCACCAAATTCAAGCCTAAACCTACTTGCTACATATCTTATAATTACCGTTACTCCTTCGACATGGCCCAGGCACATAATGATTATACAGAATACATCTGTAACACTTATCTCTTCTTTTCCAATTCCAAATATATATATGCACAAATAGCTATAATTTCTACCAAGAAAACACCATCGATACTTACTACAAAGCTCACATTCAACTACCACAACACACAATTAACTATACAAAATACTACTTGGCCCAACTCATCAAAAATCACTATCATATCATTATATATACTAATTACAATCATACTTTCTAGTTCACATATCCATCTAAAAATGAACTCATATTTCTCATCAAAATACTCTCTCTTCTACTAGACACCTCATCTATTATACCTTATGAGATTTGTAAAAATGACAATACTAGCTATCTAATTGCTACTAGGGCAGCTATCTATGCTAAATTCATTTTAATAACTACCTATTACACTAAAATTAACACCACATTACAACCTAATGATCATATCCTACATACCGAAATTGACCTATCACTACTTATCTACAATACCTACCTTCAAAAATTTAATCACAATCTATCTTCAGACAATATAAAAACAACAATCAAAAAACTCCACATTACTACTAATATAGACTCATGGTATACTCTGAACAAAATTCAAAGATTAGTAAGTGCCACCTTAAAAATTTGTTGGGACCCAACCTTTTAATACTTAAGGTACAATGACCAACCATGACAATGCTATACAAACCCTAAAACATCAACAAACAAAAATTTTAAGTTTAAAATCCTGATGAATAAGCTACCCAATCAAGTCAATCTATTTAAATATCACTTTCTCAAACACTTATTGCCTTGTTGCAAATGTTGCAATAACGCAATAGAAACGGACACACATTGGATTACTTGTTCTACTAATTCAATTGACCTATCCACACTACTAACTAATACTTTAATCCAATTTGCATCAAAACATAATCTTAATATTCCAAATACTAATAATTTTATTTAAGCATATCATAGAATTCATATACAGAACCAAATACCTATTGGAATAATAACTGAAGATATGCTTACACCTATCTGTAACCATAAATCAGCTATAAATTTCTCATCCGAACTTTATCATAATATACATTTGGAATTACAGAAGTCTATCTGGATTCCAAGTAGGATTCCCTCTTTCAATAATAATACTACAATCTCTTTCTCTCTATTAAACTTGGTGTTAGAAACCCCACTCATTTTACAACTGAGGAACTCCAATTACGAAGCAAATTTCACACTTGGCAAAAAGACTATAT